TACAAAACCATTTATTTTTCATGGTCATTTTACCTTGGGGAAGAGCCAGAATTCACAGGGGGAACACACTGTAATGTTACTATTTCACTGAAATTGCCATAAATACTTAATGATCAGTAATGAAAAAGAATGATGATGGATTAAATAAAAAAATTCACTACAGTGGAAGCTTTATTATCCTTAATCCTCATTAATTAAAATACTCTCCCTGACTTCATACACACTTTCCCCATTGTTCTAGGCTATGAAACTATTACATAATAAGTTTTATTTAAGTGTTCATCACATATTCAGTCACTAAGTACATATGACATATTTCCTCAGTGCTTGTTTCTCTGAACTATTAGTATTCTAATGGACAGTGCAGACGTTTACACACAATAGGGCTGCAATGTAGTTTCTTGAAAACATTACTTAGTAAGAATTCATTGCTTGATTGATATGTATTTGGCATTTTAGTAGTTAATTAAAACAAAATAGTAATCTTTTGTAAGATTTAGGAAAGAATAATAAAACAATGTGTGGAATTAGGTATTTTTGAAATGAAAATACCATACAATCAAATTTTAGAAAAGCAAAAATTTGATACAGCAATAAAAACAGTACTTCGTACCAGTAGCTGTGGCATTCACCATGATGTCATTTTTTCCTCAATCAAAATTTTATTGAAAATTGCTCAAATTGATCTGACATTGACGAGAACAAAAATAAAATGATGGATCTGAGAGGTACTGTACATTGTGCATGGAAATACTTTGATTATTCGCATTATGAGTTATAATAAAAAGGAGCAAAAGGAATGGATCCTGAGAACGAACAAAAAATAGAATAATTGAGATAAGTTTTTTAGTTGTGACTGAAGGTGAGTGATAGAGAAAGAAGACAAGAACACCGTATTTTAGTCAAAGCAGAGGAGATACACCAAATACATTCTCTGCTGTCAGATTTATTATCTGTGTAGCTTGGGAATGAGCTGAGAAGATGTCCTTTACAATTGTGCTCTAGGGGAATTTATTTATTTGCTATGCCATATCTTATTGAGTCTTACCAAATTTTCAACTTTTCTCCTTAATATAACATCTGGACCGCTCAGAGGCAATTTTGTTGGCTCTTGTAAATATGAGTTCTTGCTGGATGAAGACAGTAGAAAACTCACCCTTTTCCCAAAATGGCTAGTGAAAACTGAGTATTATGGATCAACTATATATGTATCTCATAGTTTTTTATTATTTAAAATTGCCATCATAAATTACCTTTTTGATTAACAAATTATATATTTATTTACACCGTTCATAGATTAACAAGTTGTGTCAGCATTCCTATCAAATGATTGCAAATATAAACTAATATATTCTCCTAGCACTTGATAATCAGTAACTGCTTCCTCTAATTGTTCAGAACGCATATTATTCTTTTCCATCATTTTTATTTACTAAGCCCACTGATTTTCACCATCAGATGATCTTCAGGAGACTTCTCAATTACTTCCCAATCTTGGAGTCTAGGTTGTCATGGGTACCTCCTGTCCCTGAGCAGAAGAATTAACTTTGACATCATTTTTCCTCTTTAGGGTTTATTGACAAAAGTATGTGGTCCTATGGGAATGCACCTGTCATTTAAGAGTAGTTAAAGGACAGAAATGCAGTGGTGATGATTCAGCACAAAGCTGGACAGAGTCTAGGATGCTGGAGACAAAAATACCCTATCTTGGTTCTTTAGTCACTGAAGAAGAGATAGATGATTTGCTCAGGACATCTACACTTTGAAGAACTGTTTGCCTTAGGACATCCTGTGCATTTTGTTCTTCTCTTATGCCCATGTTCAGTGGCTTTCTATACCTATAAGAAACTTCTTCACAGACTGGAAATTCTGCCAACCTCCACTAGCGTGAATGTCTATATACACCTGGGGCTCTCAGGTGTGCGTGAGGAATGGTTTTGAGGTGAGAAGAATGCATAAGGTATTAGTACATTAGAAGTTTAAAGAATTCAGAAAGTGAACGGGAAGGTCAAGAGATGAAACTGACCTCTACTCATGGGGAATCGCTGCTCTGGGACAGATGAGGGACACAGACTGCCATTTACCCAAGGAGACTGACTGTTCTCAGAAGAGCTCTGGGTTGGGATAATATTGCTCACTCATCTCCAGCCACAGGTAGTATTGATTGTGAGACTTTATGTACAAAAATCCTTTTTCTTGGAAACTATCATTGTCTAATATTAACTAAAAGATATAATGTGAATACTGATGAAATTGATAACACTGTTATAATTTGAATACCTGTCATGTATTGTGCACATGTGATAATAGTATGAACAGACAGGGAAGATTAGCCAAGATAATCCTCAAAACAAAAGTTTCAGGAGGTTACGTTTTCACAAGTGATTACTTGGGCACTGCAGGTTACCCCTACTTTTGAGTCATTATTATTCATGGCCGATAAGCTATGATCACGGCTACTTCATCATCTCAATTATCACTTGGCACCCTAAGTTTTAGGCACTGTGCAGAACACTTTAAATACTTTAGCATGAGCTTTTGAAAACATTACACAAGTGATAAAATCCATTTTTTAAGTGCTCAAAGAAGTTTAGAAATCTTTCCAAAGTAAGGTATAAAATAACAATTGTCACTTGGCTTTCTTTGACTGTAGAGAAGTAGCCATTGAGAGCAGAGTGATGTCTCTGTATCCAAAAGCGAGGTCAGAACACTCTCAGAGTTATCTAATGGGAGGATCTGACATTCCTTGGCAGGATGGACACACCAAAAAATATTGGAGGATTTGAGGATGGATATCAAAAGGAAGAAAATAATTTTGTCTGAGTATCAAAGCGAGGACAGAGACCAGAAAAAATGTATGACATAAACATGTAGGAAATAAGATACATGAAGGACAGTATTTCCTAATATGTTCTGATTAATATAAGGCATAGATCATTGTACATACAAAGAGAATATGTAAATCAATTATTTTTGTTTCTTTATTGTGTCTAACTGCACCTTACAAGGAAGAAAAATATATTGGGGTGTAAAATTCCAAAATACCTGTACAGTGTTATGGAATTAGTTATCTTATTATTAGGTATCTCAGAGGAAAATACAAGGCCTCATTGTTTTGGTGAAGAAGAAAAGTTTGAGGAATAGATCATATGAATTTTGGCAAAGCTTTGATGTAGATTAGGCTGTATGAAATTTTTACTGAAGTTTGATGCTTGGGGTATCTGGATGTGGATGCCCATCATGTTGGTAAGTGACTGAGATTTCTAGAGTTGCTACTTTAACGTCTATGTTTTCCTGCCCTCTGTGCTGTTTGTCTCTTATATTCCCTCTAGCTCATCAGATTCAGTGGATAACTAAACCCTGAGCACACCACTTGGCATTGCATTCTTTTCTCCATTTTCATTTTCTTTCACCTGTGAAATATTTTCTCTCCCCTTGCTCTGTTAGTCATAATTACAAATTCTCTGAGTAGGCATAGTTTCTCCTTTCACAGCTTTCTCTTTGGAAAATATAACACCATCTTCCAAACACATATATTTTCAACTTAATCCAACTGGGTTGATCTTGTACACTAGTTGCCCCAAATTTCTGTGTATGTCTTTTTTCTCCTTTTTAAAATAAATGTCAAGAAATTTTACAAAGTAAGCAAATTTATTCTAGATTTTTTTCTTCTCACACTTAGCGTATAATGATCCATTATCTGTGGTGTTTTTTCCTCTGCATATAACCTTCATACGTAAATATCCACCATGATATTTAGTGTTAGATTTCAGTGGTGTCTACTTTTGTAAATGATCATAACTTCTTAAAAAGTTTCCCTGTTTTGTCTTTACCAAACTGTAGCCCCTCTTAAAAATATCAATCCTAGTTTGACAATGATTCATTGTAGACCTGGTCAAGCTGATTTTTAAATTGCCATTAGTACACTAGTCTATACTTAGTGTACTATACTAAGTCCAAGTTCTTTATATTTCACTCAGAAATTCTAGTTCTTTTTTTTTATGAGACAGGGTCTCACTATGTAGTTGAGACTGACCTGGAACTCATGATGTAGCCCAGGCTGGTCTTGAACTCACAGTGATGCTCCTGCCTCAGCCTCCTGAGTGCTGGGATTACAGGTATGTGCCACTACGCCCAGCTTCTAGTCCATTTTTTAACTTAGTTCCCATGACCATATAAATAGTTACTTCTTACTTTTAGCTATGTTCAACCATATTTGCTTACGTTTGTATTGTAGGAGCCATGCTTATCCTCAGACTTGCTTTCTACTGTTTTGATTATTTGCCATCAACCTTGGTATAAAAAATTAAATGGAAAACTCCAGAAATAGTCAATTCATAGTTAAAAAAACATTATTGTTTAATTTTATTATTAGTTGTCATTAACTATTATTGGGCCTAATTTATGAACTTAATCATGGTTATGTGTGTGCAGGAAAAAGTTTGTACATGTAAGGTTTGGTCCATCTATGACTTCAGGTACCAACTCGGCTTCCTGGAATATATCTCCTGAAAATATATCTTCCTGGCATATATCTCCGGAGGAACTAGGGTGCTCTCTAATATATTTCTTCATTTACATGGATATTATTCAGTACAAGATGCACATCACAGTCCTTTGATTCCATCTAACTCATATTTGTCACTTGAAACTTAACTTGAGTCGCTGTCTTTAACTTCCCTTAGATGAACTTAGCTCCTCTCCCTTTTATATCCTGTGTTTTTATATCACCTTTAAAGTAACACTAAATTTCAGCACTCTGCGCAGTTTTTAAGTATTTGAAGGTATTTTTATATATCTCCCTAGTTTTAGTACTACCAAATAGTCTTTACTATGAACTCAAATAGAGTAGGTAAAGTTTCTTAAATGATAAATACAGATAGTAATTCAACATAACAACAAAGGAATGATTAAAAAGCTAAATACATACACATTCGTTGTTATACTACAGACTTTTACCTCGTCTCTACACTTAGACTGAAGGTGGCTCCATCAGGGCGATGTCTGTCTTCAATGATTCGGCCCTATATCCTCGCTTCCTTCTGACAGGCTTCTCAGGCCTTGAAAGGCAGTATGGCTTGATTTCCCTCCCTATCTTCTTGGTTTACGTCACTTCAATTGTGGGAAACATCACCATCCTCTTCATTATCAGAACAGAGTCTTCCCTCCACCAACCGATGTACTACTTTCTATCAATGTTGGCACTCACCGACCTGGGACTATCCACCACTACCTTGCCCACCATGTTTAGTGTCTTTTGGTTCCATGCTCGGGAAATCGCTTTCAATGCTTGTCTCGTCCAGATGTATTTCATTCATGTTTTCTCAATAATTGAGTCGGCTGTTCTGTTAGCCATGGCCTTTGACCGCTTTGTAGCGATCCGGGAACCTCTACGTTACGCATCCATTTTAACCAATGAGGTAATCACTGGGATTGGGCTGGCAGTTGCTGGAAGAGCCCTAACCCTGGTGTTTCCAGCTTCCTTCCTTCTGAAGAGACTTCAGTATCATACTGTCAATATTCTTTCCTACCCCTTCTGCCTGCATCAGGACCTCATAAGGACAACTGTATCCAGCCGTCGTGTGAGCAGTATCTATGGCCTCGTGGTGGTCGTCTGCTCCATGGGACTTGATTCAGTGCTTCTCCTCCTCTCCTATCTTCTCATCCTGGGCACAGTGTTGAGTATAGCCTCCAAAGCAGAGAGAGTGAAAGCCCTGAATACCTGCATTTCCCACATTTGCGCCGTTCTCACCTTCTATACACCCATGATTGGGCTATCCATGATCCGTCGCTACGGGCAGAGTGCTTCTCCAATCGTCCATGTGCTCATGGCCAATGTCTACTTGCTGGTTCCCCCTTTTATGAACCCTATTGTCTACAGTGTAAAGACCAAGCAGATTCGTGACAGAATCCTCAAGAAATTCAAGAAACATGAAGTTTAGGTGAAAGAGACTCCAAACCACAACTTTTCTCCCATCTCCTCTCTATATAGGAGAGTATTTCTTATCAGTGTAGACTTAGAAATTTAAATGTTTCCAAAAATACTTTACCTTGACTATCTGTATCTAAACCCCAATGATAGTAAATACTTCCCTTTTAATATGGAGAATAACATTATCCCTTTTGAATACCCTAAAGTCCTAAAGATATAGATGTCAAGACAACGCTAATATAGTCTCCAGTCTACTCATCTATTTACTTTAGTGCAAATATATTTTAAATACATTTTTTGACCTGTTGAGGTCACAAAAAAAGGCTGCTGTTAAAAAAAGACAATGAGGGCCGGGGATTTAGCTCAGCATTTGGTGGCCTGCCTCGCAAGCTCAAGGACCCGAGTTCAATCCCTGGTACCAAAAAACAAAACAAAACAAAACAAAAAACAAACCCACCAATGACTGCATGAAACATAGGATATTTGCAAAAATTTAAAAGAAAGTAAACTTGGACCAAATGATTTGAACTATTTTTTTGTATCTCTCACATAATGCAGAACCAGTGAGTTTTTTTTTGGGGGGGGTAGAGATCCTTTTCTATTCTGAGAGGTTCAGGCACTTTGAGATCCACATTTCTATCCATTTTCTCTAGCTGGGCTCTTGGTGCATTTCTCAATTATTTATAGCAATCGCCATCAATTCTATGTCTCAAAATGTGCTGAGACCTAAGGAGAGAGGGATGTAGTCCTTCAGTGCCTGTGTTTTCCTACATATACTATCCTTATTGTACTTTTCGAGGTTGTCAGTGTCATCCTACACTGGAAAGCGCAATGTTTTTTAGGAATTACGTTTTCAACTCTTAATTATGGGGTTGATAGACAAACATATTATGAACACCAGCAACGTTAGCAACAACATTTTAAAAGGCTTTGTTTTCAATTAATGTGACTGACTGAAATGTCTTTATGGCTGCTTAGAAATTACATAATCCACAAAACATCATTAAAATTTTGTGTGTATTCTTTGGCTCAATTTCATCATCTTCTATTCTAAACTGAATCTCCTGTGGTATGAGTTACATTTTGATGAATCCCCTGGAATGGTACTTTAAAATATTTCTAGTGATCTATTTGTTACTATACTAAATTCAGTATTCATATTTTAATTTAAACCCCCAATTCCCTTGAAAATAACCTTAGTTTTGATAATTTTAGATTTACAGTAAAAATATAAGATGGCATAGAGTTCTTATATATCATCCACCCAGTTTCTTCTATCATTAAAATCTGACATCGATGTGGAATATTTGTTAAAATTAAAAAAATATTGATAATCTTTTAAATAGAATCATAAATTAATTAATTACATTTCCACACCTGTCTGTTGTTTTACTGTTGCTTCAGGAACCACATTACATAGCTATATTTTGACTTTTTAGAGTTTTTTCCCCCCACATTCTGGGGTTTTAAGCCAAGGCCTTCTCCAGCCCTGTTTTATTTTGAGACAGGTTCTTGCTAAGTGAATAAGCTGCCCAGGCTGGTATCCAGTTGCTACCCTCATGCCTCAGCCTCCCAGCACCCTGAGACTGCTGAGGCTACTGAGGTTACAGGTGTGTGTCACCACTCCCAGCTTCTTATGTTCTTCTTAACAGTAAAAGATTCTCAGATGTATCTCCTTGATTTCTGAGAAGTTTTGAAGAAGATCAATTAGGAGTTTTGTGAAACATCACTCTATTGATAATTTTTATGTTGCTTTATTCAGTAGACTAGGATTATGTGTTTTGGAGAGGAAGAAGACAGCAGAGGTAGAATACCGTTCAGATTGTATCGTATCAAAACTATATTTTAGTAGCAGTGATTATCACTTTTGATATGTGCCTGGATCATGTGACGAGGGTCATGTCCATCATAACTTCTCCATTATGAAGTTAATCTTCTTTGTTAAAACAAACTCTCTTTCCAAGCTGCTAGTGTATAGTAATAAAGTATTTTTCCAATATGTTAGAGACCCTATGTTTGATCTTTAATGTAACAACAAAAAGACCAAATAAATACAATTAAGGAAATACTACTTCCGTGTTCCACTTTTTGAAAGTCAATATATACAGTTCACACTAAGAGGGCAGGAATTCATGCTTCCCCTCGTTAAGAGCAGAGCACACGCGAAGTCAGTTACGGTTCTTTTGAATATTGTATTTGTCCCTTTACCAATTTACCAATTTGACATAGACATTCATGTTAAATTTTATCATATCAGATGCATTTTATTTATTTTTCTCAAATTGTTCCTGCAATGACCAAAAGGAGTTCTTTTAGTTGAAACTCCATAGATGTTAGATTTATTTATTTATTTATTTATTTATTTATTTATTTATTTATTTATTCTTGTTGGTTGCTTTCTTTATTTCAGGATGTCTTGGCTTATGACATGCCTAGGATCATCTTGCGTATTTCCTGTCAAACTCCTAGAATCAGTCATTTGTTAAGAAGCAATGATTCCTACCTCCTTTCTCTATGTTCCAGTCCCAAAAGATGAATGTAATTAGAAATACTGATAAATAATTTGAAAATGAATGGTATTGTAAATCTAGTTATGAATGCTGATTTACTACTTTCTAATGGGGTTTTTCTGCTGTGAGCCTTTCTTTTCAGGCAACACAAAAGACATGAGTGTAACTATATCTTCATGCACAATTATCAATAAATATATTTATATGTACTTACATGTATTTGCAGTAAGCAAAATATGAATTTAAGTTGATGTTTCACATCACCACATACACAGTTCTATCATCCTGTTCTACTTGTATCTCCTGCCTCCAAAATGAGGACTCACGTTCCAATCATCTACCATCTACATGCAGAATCGTGCATATCTGGGATATAAACATAGCAATATCTGAATTGTATTCTGGATAGAAGTTATTTGTCATTTATGTGACTTGGGAATAGTTTCCCTTACACTGTAGTCTGATTTTTCATTCTTTCAACAATATCTCACAGAGAGGAAGATTTTAATTTCAATAACTCTGAGAATATCAGTTTTGTCTTTCATGAATTGTGCTTTTTTTCCTTGCCAAAATCAAAGCCACAAAATTTTTCTCCTATGTTATCTTCTGTAAGTTTTATAGTATTTTATTTTACTTTCAGGTTTAAATTTTTTATTTATCAAACTTTTCTGTATTAAATTTAATAAAAAGTAAGTTCTGCATATTGATTCTGTTTTCACATATGTATTTCCAGTTTTTTCAGTACCTTTTGTTGATAAATCTATCCTTTCACCATCGAATTGCTTTTGTTCCCTTCATGTACTGATAAGAATAAAATAATATAAAGAACACAAAAACACGACAAGAAGAGGGAGAAAAAAGATTAGGTCACTACATTTTTATATGTTTTTGAGCAATTTGTTCTATTTTATTAATCTACTTATATATTGTTCTATCATATCTTATTGTTTTAATTATTCAACTTTATTGTAAGTACTAAAGTCAGTAGCATCAACACTCCAATTTATTAATTTTTTCTCAGTCAGTCTAGATCTTTTGATGTTCTGTAAAAAGCTTAGAATTGTGCTGCTGAGGTCCACAGAGCAACTTGCTAGGATTTTGATGGGATGGAGCTGAATGTATAGAATCTGTTGTGAGGAATTAAATCCTTACACTGAAATTTCTGATTATGAATATAAAATAGCTCTTCATCTTTTTGGGGCTTTTTAAATTTCTTTCATCAGAAGGGGTTTGGGAGGGCAGGAGAGGAAGAGAGAGTGAAAATGATCAATAAGCTATACACACACACACACACACACACACACAACCTAATTCACCAAGATGGCTCCAGTTGTGCAAACATATACTAAAAAAGAATTATTTCAATAACTACATAATTGTCATTGGAGATCAGTTTTGCCAATAATTGATAAGTGCTGTGATCCTATGTATTATCTTCATCCTAAGACACCTCTCATGGATCCAAGGTATCTGTATATTCAACTGTATATTTTTTTTCAGTTTTCTCTTATTTGTATGTTTTAGATATACATAATGATAAAATTCATCATATGGAATTTGTAGCTTTCAGCTTTAGTTGTTTTCTCATTTATACAGAGAAAAACAAAAACAAACAAAAAGCCCCCCAAAATGCCACTCATCTAATACTTAAGGTTAATTTGTGATTAGATGTGAAAGAAGACTTGACTGAACCAAAGAAAATATTTTACTATATATA